AAGAGTTGGCGAACAAGACTCTCCGCGCTGAGCGGGAGAATGATCAGTCGACGATGAGGGACAAGGAGGACCAACTTGAGGAGAGGAGAGGGGAGCTGGACAGGGAAAACTCCGAGCTATATGATCGAGTTGCTGCTCTGGAGGCCGAAAAAACCCAACTGCTCGTGTGACCATCTTTGTCTAATGCTTCTAAATTCCCCAACGTCCATCGGGAGTTGTACAAAGAATGGATTCATGCTGAATCCTGACTGGATGTGTTCCACGAATTATATGCAATGGGCTCCACTTCTCAGGCAGCTCTTGAGGATGCTCAGGTCAAAGCTCACGAGGCTTGGCTTGCATATAGCTATGTTCCTGCTATGCCTCGGTCTGGTGATGAGGATGAGGAGGAGTATGTAGATCGGCTTGAGGAGGATGCTTGGTATGATTCCATGTATCCTCAGGGTGAGGGTGGGGAAGATGCTGAAGGCTGGGATGATGGTGGTGCTGACGGTCAGAGTGACATTGTTGAAGGCTGAGTGGCAAGGGTGTTGAGGTTCATAATGGTGATGGCCAGTAGTTTTATTTTAACTTTTCTGTGTATTTTTGTTGGTGCCTTTGGGCGTCTTTGTAAAGCAACTCTTTATATATAAATATCAAAGTTGTTCCTTCTACCCTTTTTAGTCCTGCTGTTTGTTTCTGTACTCGTATATTTTTGCTTTTATCGTTTGTATGTTTTGCTTTTGTTCTTTTTATTATCGTCACCTTCTGGATGATCATAGCCTATTGAGCCAAATAGCCGTGGATCATATTGGCCCTCATATAAGTTAAGTATATCTCTTAGGCGCGATGTGGCTGTGGGCCAATAAGTCTTGTTCGAATTTGGTCGAATAAGTCGTGATTGAGGACTGGTAAGTGTTTGTTCGAGCTTAGTCGAACTTAACTTTTCATTAAGTCGTGGCCGAGGGCCTATAGATGTTATTCGAACTTGGTCGAAAAAGTCATGGCCTTGGGATGATAGGTATTTGTTCGAGTATAGTCGAATTTACCCTTTTGTTAAGTTGCGGCCGAGGGCTAGTAGGTGTTGTTCGAGCTTGGTCAAACTTAACTCTTCGTTAAGTTAGTTCGAGCTTCGTTAATACCCAATTTTTCCCATAATATTTTCAAAACTATGCTTTGGCATCAACTAGTATTTCTTCATACAATATTTGCATCTTTAAAACATTTTAATTAATTTATCCCACCATTTGTTTTTATAGAACAATCACTGATTGCACCACAAAATAGTTTTATAATAAATTTTATGGCTTAATTTTATCATTTTGCATTTTGGATTAAGTTTCAATTATTGCAAAAGTAGCCACATTTGTATTTTAGGATGCAGTTGCAATTACTTTGCAATTAATGCCTATACATGCATTATTGCATTATTTTTTATCGGAAAATAGCCTTTTATATTTTTAAAATATTAAGTGATTACTTTAAAACATTTCTATACATGAAAGTCATTTTTTCTAATTTATTAACCATTTTTTAAAAATTATTTTAGCAATTAATTAACAAATAGCCCCTTTTTCATTTGAAACCAACCCAATTAACTAGCCTAATTTTAACCCAACATATACCCAGCCCAAACCCAGCATCTACGTGATCCACTTCTTGCCAAATCCTGGCCGTTGATCATTTTGATCAACAGTCCAGAATCCCCCTTCCTAAAATAAGCCAACCTATACCCCCCAAACCCTAATCATTCTAACACCCTCCCCGCCGTCACCTAATCCCCTCTTCTCTCAAATGCTCTCAAGTCTAAACCCTAATCCACCCTCGCCGGAACTCATCTATGACCATTCATGGTGGTTTCTCACCACCCCAGGCCTCTAACGGGTTCTACTATGCTAGTATCATCATCTCTAGGGTTCTCAAGGGACCAGAGTTAGTCTACTTACACCTTTGGTCTTTGCTCACCTGTTTCAGGCTGTTCCGGTTCGATTTGAGTAATATCTTCCTATGTCTATGGATTTCTAAGCATGTTTCTTCACCTCTGTGTTGTTCTTCTTGAAACCCTAATTTTTACCCTTTGAACTTCTCAGATCTGTATAAGATCTGAGATGGATCAAGCCTATTTCATATGAGTTTTACAAGAACCTTATGATTTTCGAATGGTTTTTCCATTCTTTCTAAACTAGGGTTTTCCGAAAATTTCTTTCTCCAAAACGTTTGATAATTTTGAGTGTTTAATCTTCTATTTCTTATGTGTTTTAACCGATTTCGTAAGGTTTGCTTTAACCCCAACTCGTTTATGCTAAAAACCCTAAATTTTTCGATATTTTGTTTGGATTCTGAGTTTGTCCGGTTTACTTTTGTACTGGCTTTGTCCTATGCTTTGGTTCATGTGATTGTTCTTTAGCCTAATTTGATGTCTTGTGATTTTATCCTAATGCGCCTCTAATAAGGTTCTTTGTTCGACTTTTTACTGATTCTATGTGTCTATATTCATTTTTTGCCTATTCATGGTAAACCTATATTTTCACCCTTTAATCAGTATTGATTTGAATTCCTGATTTATCAATCTGTTTCCTGACTATTCCTTTCTTGCCTTATTTGAAAATTGTCTGCGATACTTGCTGACTCTTTGCATGATTCTTTCCTTAATTAAATCCTTGACTCTATATTCTGAAGTTCTTTGTTTTAATTTGAACTCTTTTCCTTAATAAGATCTCTGATTCTTACTTCTTTACTCGGTCTGATTGAACCTGTTGCCTTAATTAGTTCCTGTCATTACCGTTGGTTGATTTTCCTTAATTAAGGGAGAAAACTATGTTGAATCTTCGTGTAATTGATTCTGAAATTCCTTGGTTACTGATTGTTGATTGCTTTACCTTATTTGCTCTACTCTTGAGCTACTATATAAACTCCCTTTATTTTAACCTCTAGACACGAACACTAGTTCATCTACACTCTCAAAATCTCTCTATTCTCTTCAGTTACTTGTAATTCTCACTAATCCAGCCGGTTGTAAGCCAAGGTTGGCTATTTGCACCATCTCTGCTCTATACTCTGTATTCTCTCCTTAACTAGTATGTTCTGATTCAATTCACATTCCAAAACTATGTGTTTTCTTTGTTGCTGTAGTTCATTAGTTGTGATTTCCAGTTCTACTTGCTATTCTACTGTCATATGCTCAATGTGTAACTAGCATGATTAGATTACACTGCCTAATTATTGTATTACTCAGCATGTTTAAGTTTGTTCTGTTAAAAGCTATAACTAGTATACTGTTTAGCATGTCCAATCCTACTTTTGATAATTGCATGAATCCTATTTGTTCACTAGTATGTCCAAGCTGCATTGTTTGTTTACTGTCTCACCCAACATGAACAAATTCTGCTTGTTCTATATGTGATTAATATTTCTAAAAAAAAAACTTTGAATGCTTCATGAAGTGCTTGTCTAGTTTGTTCACCTAAGTCTTACCTACTCTACTTTACTAATGAGATCCTGTTAAGACATCTAGCCCTTTCAAAGATACTCTAGTTGTATGTATTGGTCCTGTCTAAGACCTATGTGTTCTCAACATATTTTTGTAACTAACTTGTCAATTCCATAACGTCTTGAGGAATCTGTGTATTTGTTTACTATCACTAAGGTGTATTCTAGGTGTTCTCTACCCTTTTCTCCTTGTGTGGAGTCTGTTTGCCAAAGTGTTTTCTGAAGCTGTTCTGGACTGGTTTTCTGATTTCAAGATGTTCTTTTCATGCTTTTCCAACTACTATTTTACTCAAACTAGTACTGGTTTTCAAAAATCTTCTCACCCCTAAGACCCTTCTCTACATTATTAAATCATGCACTCCCATTTACTCTTAGTTCATTAAGTCCTGCCCCACTAGTATGTGTACTGCTTGGAGATCCCTGAGGTCTCCTTGAACTCTGATATATCAGGGCTGGCACTTCCTCACTGCGCACAAATCAGTCCTTATTTGAGAAAGGTCAGGGTGTGAGCATTGTCTGGGATCCTTGAGGTCCTTAGGGAACTCTGACACACCTAGACATGAAATTGGCTATGGAACTTTGAGCACTTGAGACTACTGAAGGCTTGGAAATTACTTTGGACCTACTTCGGGCTCCCTGTAGTTTAATGTATATTTATAATTATGTAATTCGTTCAATTCTTGGTTTGTAATAATTAATTGTAAACAAATATTGGGGTGACTAGTGAAAAAGGAGGGTAGTTTTATATTGTGGGTAAAGTTGGATAGATAACATGCCTATAGGGCTTAATTACATGTGTTGTGTTAGACAATATGCCTATAGGATTTCTTGGTAGAAATGAATTCTACCTGCTCCATTTCATATAATTAGATATCATGCCTATAGGGTGTAAAGTCACTGAGGTTCAGTTTCCATTATAGCATGTATTCAAATTCATCTACTTAGAGATCATGCATATAGGATCTAAAATCAGCTTTAATAGAAATCATGCATATAGGGATTTCGCTTTGGTCAAATAAATTCTGCTTGCTTTACCTTATGTTTAATTAGAAATCATGCCTTTAGGATCTAAAACCAGTTTAGTTAGACCTAAAATCAGTTTAACTTTAACTCATGTTTGTAGATTCTGAATCGATTTAATTAACTAACCTACTCATCTCTTCCACAATGCATTAATTAACATCACTAGAAATCATGCCTATAGGATCCAAATGACCCGTTTAAAATTGTTTACTATTTTACTGCATTCCTGATCAATGATTAGATACCATGCTCATAGATCATTGCTATTATACGCCTAGGCAAGTGTCACGCCGTAAAACTATGTGACGGGCACCCGGTATTTTACCCGACCCGAGTGAACCATCCTATAGATTAATACACATCTATATGCTTAATAGGAGGATGTGAAAGGCTCTTCAATTTCAATCATTTTAAGATATACGCAAAACATGAATAATGTCTTTAAGTAAATATTTTCCTTTGAAGGCAAAGCTTCATAAAGATAAAAGAAAATTTCGTTCATGCACACCATGTAAGTAACCATAAGATTACAACCCAAAATGAATATATTGTTGTCTATGGAATCTCAATAACACGAAATGGAATAGTCAGCCAAGGCATAACCCGGTGGCTTAAAAGGATTTAATATAATAAAGTCCTCCACAAATACAAGCGTGGAGTCTCACCAAAGAACGTTAACGGGAAATGTAGAGCTGCCCTATCCACACGGTCCAAGTTGCTCAGGTCTAGTCCCTGAAAATAAAAAATATAAATTTGGCTGAAAGGCCTAAGTTACACATGCCTAGTACGAATCATGAATCATTCCCCAAAAAGAAAATAGGACGATGTTCAAGAAGACATAAGATATGCAATAATAATTGATATCAAGAAAGAAGTATTCATATCAATTAACAATTTAAAAAGTACAACACAATAATATGGTAAAACATATTTCAAAGTCTTCCTTTATCATTGATCTTTGCAAAATCATGTTAGAATTTTTATTTACCGGGAGCATTATACCATCATCAACACGAAAGAAGGTCAACTAGGTTATGTACCTAGCGGCAAGTATCATATACTCTACTTGCTCAGGTCATCTCATCGTTGTGCCGCACGAATCGACTCAGCCATGCTAATAAAGTAGCACTCCCTAATGGGAAGTACTCTGCCGTAGTCCCCAACCATAAGGTAGGTTCTACGCCTACACCGGCACGTGTAGTTTTATGACCTAATGAGGAAAAATGTCCAAGGTCAATCTTAATGAATTTAAGTAACTCCCAAAACCTTTACATTTATCAATGATGATATTTATAGCCAAATCAACTATTTGAGAATAACTATATCCAAGATATTTTACAACTAATGTATTTTCATTTCAAAATACTACAAGTGCTATTCCTTATTTATTTAGTTTTTTTCTTTAATTAAGATACAACATTTTAGGAAAATAATATTAATATCACTTAAATCTTTTATGATGCAAGAATGGTAAAGTCTCATCTCACTCATTCCCACAAGCTAGGACTCGCATTTTGAAACTCAGTTTAATCGTGTTTCGATATGAGTTTTGGAGAAAAATTCTGAGGGTAGTAAGTTTCAACGTACCTTAAATTGCTTCCAACCTTATCACAAATGATCCAATAACGCCAATGAGTCACGATCTACATATACGAACTCACATAATTCAAGAACGAATCACAACGATACCTACTAAACCAACTAAGTGTCTAACACTTAAATCTAATCTTGTAAGTTTAACAAAAATCCTCATTTGATTATTTGAATGACAATCCATGAATTTTAACTCCAACTTATTCATTAAACTTGTTATGAAATCTAGTCATTCCACTATAAACTCAAAATAACATCATTCAAACAACACCATCACTATTCATCATTCTTACCAACCAACTTTTCAATTTCAAGACTAGCTTCTAGAGTTTTATGAATAGATATTTAAATACAAATCTAACTTTATAAATATACTCTACTATGCTCGTGGAGTATAGTACATAAGATTGGAGTGAAGGAATTACCTCTTTGTCAATCCCTAAAAGTTTCAAGATTTGAGTTTCTTGAAATGTCCTTGAGATTATCTTCAAAAATCTATGAATCCCACGATATTGGAAGGTTAATAGATGTAATAAATGAATCAAATTTATCAAAGAAAGGCATTTAATTCTTACCTTGAAGATGTATTAATGGTAAATAGCTGCTCCTTCTCTCTAATCCCCAAGACCAAGTCAAATAATCTCTCTCTTTACAAAATGCCTACAAAAACTTCAACTGTGGATTCTAAATTTTGGGTGTTGAGTTGCACGCCTTCACTGAATTCTAATTTATTCCATCACAGAAGCAACATTTTGGTCTTCAACTTTAATCATTCTATTTCCCACTTGCTTTTGTCTTTCATAATTACTTCCATTATTTTCTTATCCTTGTTATTTAATTAATTTCATTGTCCCCCACTTGTCACTTTGTTGGCCAACCACTTTTCCTAGTTTTCTAAATCCTTTCTCGTTGCCATCTGAAGACTAGGATTTTAAATCCTTGTTTTCCTTATTAAATTCCAACTCTTCAAGTTGGTTACATACCATTGAATTCTCAAAATTTCAGCACTTATGAATAGAAACTTGAAATGCTCCAAATGCATTTGATGACCTTGTAACATCCACTAATTCAATGATTAACTATCGATATTGTCCCTAAGCATTCCAATAACTTTGTTCCACTCGAATAATCATGTAGCTCAGATTTAATTACATTGCATTTAAAAGCTCAAAATTAGTAGGAGTTAACTAAAAGAATTTATGGAACTTTACATTCTCCCCCACTTAGAAACATTTATCCTCGAATGTAAATTTCTTGTCGTGTTAAAGTCAATCTCCGAGTCTTTTGCTTACTTATTAACTCTTTAAGGCTTCGAAATTTGACTAACTCTCCAAAAAAATTTAAAAAGTTTCAGCAGAGTTTCCTTCGTTAATAGGCTTATCCCAAAATTCCAACTTCACAATGAGTTATAAGAATACAATATAAAAGGCCATACATGGCTCAACTCAACACAACTACCTTAATGAATGTATCCGCGATTTCATATATCTACGGACATCAGTACTTAGCCTCTCCCAACATCACAATAATTAAATTTATCAACATAAGACAAGTCTAACAGCCATGTGCAATAGATAAATCAATCAATCACTTGCCCCATGGAAGTAAGTTCAACGTACCTTAAATTGCTTCCAACCTTATCACAAATGATCCAATAACGCCAATGAGTCACGATCTACATATACGAACTCACATAATTCAAGAACGAATCACAACGATGCCTACTAAACCAACTAAGTGTCTAACACTTAAATCTAATCTTGTAAGTTTAACAAAAATCCTCATTTGATTATTTGAATGACAATCCTTGAATTTTAACTCCAACTTATTCATTAAACTTGTTATGAAATCTAGTCATTCCACTATAAACTCAAAATAACATCGTTCAAACAACACCCATCACTATTCATCATTCTTACCAACCAACTTTTCAATTTCAAGACTAGCTTCTAGGGTTTATTAATAGATGTTTAAATATAAATCTAACATCATAAATATACTCTACTACGCCCGTGGAGTATGGTACATAAGATTGGAGTGAAGAAATTACATCTTTGTCAAACCCTAAAAGTTTCAAGATTTGAGTTTCTTGAAATGTCCTTGAGATTATCTTCAAAAATCTATGAATCCCACGATGTTGGAGGATTAAGAGATGTAATAAATGAATCAAATTTATCAAGGAAAGGCATTTAATTCTTACCTTGAAGATGTATTAATGACAAATAGCTGCTCCTTCTCTCTAATCCCCAAGACCAAGTCAAATAATCTCTTCCTTTACAAAATGCCTACAAAAACTTCAGTTATGGATTCTAAATTTCGGGTGATGAGTTGCACGCCTTCACTGGGTTCTAATTTATTCCATCACAGAAGCAACATTTTGGTCTTCAACTTTAATCATTCTATTTTCCACTTGCTTTTGTCTTTCATAATTACTTCCATTATTTCCTTATCGTTGTTATTTAATTAATTCTATTGTCCCCCACTTGTCTCTTTGTTGGCCAACCACTTTTCCTAGTTTTCTAAATCCTTTCTCGTTGCCATCTGAAGACTAGGATTTTAAATCCTTGTTTTCCTTATTAAATTTCAACTCTTTAAGTTGGTTACATACTATTGAATTCTCAAAATTTCAGCACTTATGAATAGAAACTTGAAATGCTCCAAATGCATTTGATGACCTTGTAACATCCACTAATTCAATGATTAACTATAGATATTGTCCCTAAGCATTCCAATAACTTTGTTCCACTCGAATAATCATGTAGCTCAGATTTAATTACATTGTATTCTCAAGCTCAAAATTAGTAGGAGTTAACTAAAAGAATTTACGGGGCTTTACAGCAAGCTTGTAGGGCGACTAAAATTCTGCAAACTATAAAACTACGCCTTGTTATTCGAGACTGCTCATATTTAACAGGTTTAAAAAATCAATAGGCAAATGGATTAAGTTCTTTTACACTTTGGTCTTAACTCAATATTGCATATTCTCTGCTCACCTATATATCCTGTTCTAGAGTTCCTCTTAAATATCTGAAAACTGTTGTTTGAGACGTGCACTTACTTGTTCTGTTTGTGGAGGTAAAATGTGAGCCTTTACTTGTTCCCTCTTTAATGCAGTCCTAATTGTTTTAGTTGATGCCTAAATTTTTTTCCTTTAAGTACCTTAGGATGGTCTAGAACTACCTAAATTAGAGGTCCTAAATACCTTCAGGGCCACAAGGAAGGGACGGGTAATGCATGCATAAGATATCTTTCAAGGCTGCTAGAACGCTTTAGGCTATGACCAAGGGGAGGGAATTGGGTAATAATGATATGATGACTATGCGCTAATGTCACGTGTAGCCTCTCACTGAGGAGTGATTACCGGATATTGTGTGGGTATGATCCTGTAGGCTAACCAACCTAGGACCCCACTTTCCCAACTTCCGTTGTTTAAATGAATTTACTTTTCTTTACATATGTGCAAATTGTTCAAACCTTTTCCCTTGTTTTCATTACTTGAATCATACATGTACTTAGAATGTCAAAACATGCCTTTATTTGAGAGTATGTGTTAAAACTATTTATTTGTTAAAATGACTAATTCACATAGTTTAAGTTCGGCTGGGACCCACCGTTGTAGACCGCGAGGGGTGCCTAACACCTTCCCCTCAAGGTTATTTCGAGCCCTTACCCTAATCTCTGGTAATGCAAACTAGTTCATGAGTTAATTGCTCTAGGTGCCCTAACACACCATAATCCGTTAGGTGGCGACTCTCCAAATACCCAAATTCCCAAAGGAAACGAGTTATTTCCCCCATGAATGTTGAAACCCAGACTTCCCCGTCAAAAAGCGAAAAAAGGGGGCGCGACAAGCTTGGTCGAACTTAAACCTTTGTTAATTTATGGCTGAGGGCCGGTAGGTGTTGTTTGAGCTTAGTTGAACTTAACCTTTCATTAAGTTATGGTCGAGGGCATGTTGGTGTTGTTCGAACTTAACCCTTCATTAAGTTGCGGCTGAGGGCTAGTAGGTGCTGTTCGAGCTTGGTCGAACTTAACCTTTCGTTAGAGTAGTTGTGATAAGTGTGAATTTCTATTACTTTAATGTCGTTGCTCTGATTACATAATTGGAGAAAGTTAGACATTTTGGGGGTTGGCTGGCATTCCAGTCCAGTCTCAATATACCTAGTCCCTTCATTGCTTGACTTGGAGAACCTTGAGGAGTTGGACATTGAAAAAGAAATCAGTCCTTTCTTCATATACTTCGACTCGAAATGTCCTTCACGTTGCCTCGTTTTAAACCACCTTGAGAAAACCCTAATAGGACAAAACTCAATGAGGAAAAAAGAGTACGACTTGGGGTGGGGGCACTTCTTATTTTCTAGAATATATTCCTATTGTTTGGTAGTTGTTTTCCTTCCATTATCTCTAGTTGGAATGAACCCTTGTTTTCTTTGCCTACAATTTTGTACGGTCCTTTCCAGTTGGTTCCCAATTTGCCTTATCGTGGATCTATGCTTGCTTAGGTTTTGTCTTTGAGTACATAGTCCCCGACTTTGAGAGGTCGGACCTTTGCCTCTTTGTTGTAGTAATGTTTTGCCTGGTATTTTTTGGCGACCATCCTTATCTATGCCATATCACTGCGTTCGTCGATCTCATCGAGTTCTATCCTCCTACATTCGTCGTTGTCGGTGCCGCTTTTATGGGAGTACCTCAGGCTAGGCTCTCCGACCTCAACCAGAATAACTGCTTCTATTCCGTAGACCAGTGAATAGCACGTCTCTCTTGTGCTCATCTTCGGTATGGCCCTATGCGCCCATAATACTCCCAGGAGTATTTTTGGCCACAATCCCTTGGCTTTTTCAAGTTTCTTCTTTATTATGTTTAATATAGACTTATTGGAAGATTCTGCTTGGCCGTTGCCTACTGGGTGATGAGGAGTTGAAAGTATCCTCTTAATGTGCCATTTCTCGAAAAATTCAATGGTTTGCTTTCCTTTGAATTGGGCCCGTTGTTGCAATATTTTTTTTGGGTAGGCCGAGTTGGCATATGATGTTTTTCCATATAAAGGCGATTACCTATTATTCACGCACTTGGGCGAACGCTCCTGCTTCCACCCATTTAGAGAAATAGTTAGTTAAAATTAAAAGAAATTGTACATTACCTCACCCCAGTGGGATGTCCATTCCCCATTTGATAAATGGCCACGGAGAGGTGACCGAATGAAGGTGTTCGCCTGCTCTGTGGATTATTGGGGTGTATTTTGATATTGCTCACATTTTTTCACAAATTCTGAGGCATCTTTCTTCATGGTGGGCTAGTAGTACCCGGCCCATATGAGTCACCTGATGAGTGGTCGATAACCGAAATGGGCACTGCAGTGGCCTTCATGGACTTCCTCGAGAATTTGATGTGTTTGATTCGAACCTAAGCACTTTGCTAGAGGGCCACCATATGTTCTCTTGTATAAGTCATTATGAAGGAGGCTGTATTTGGCCACTTACATTCTTAGTTTTCTAGCTTCTTTTTT